TCACCTCTGTACCGCAGAAGAACTTTATACCCAAGTCAGGACAGAAGACGCAGGACTTGTTTAGCAAGGCGGCGGCCCCGGTGCCCTCGTTGACTCCGGTGCGCATGCAGCTCACCCGTGCGGACATCCAAAAGTGGCAAGAGAGTAGTGCTTCTGCCATCGCGGAAGATTCGCCTGAATCCGAGCGTCGTATCCTTCGGCCCTTGCCAGACAGGAACATGTCGCCCACCAAGTCCTGTCTGCGCTCTCCTCTGAAACCGCGCACGCCGGGCAGAGTCGTTGAGTTCACCAGCAGCGTCCTCTCGCCTCTGGCCCAGGCACAAGTCCGCGCCGGTCGCCGCCTATCCTCTAATTCCAACAGCAGCGCGGACGCCGCTCAGCAGCAACAGCAGCAGCAGCAACGCATCAACGCCATCATGGAAGAAGAGGATAAGGAAAACGACACCGCCATGGGCGACGCCAGTGACGCGCAGCACGAGGAAATGGACGTCTTCATGATGGACGCGCCTGACGCGGGCAGCTCGCTTAAGCCCGCGGCCGGAGAGGAGCCGCGCCTCTCGCAGACCATGTGGTCGCGCGATCACTGGCTGCTGCTGGACGATATCATTCAGCTTCGCCGGCTCGGTCCGTTCGACTTCCAGTTCCCGAACGACTTCCAGAGCAAGTCGGGGTGGCTGCTCGGCCGCTCTGTCAACTCACACGGCATCAGCCTGGTTATGGAGCAGTGGCACCTCGACGTCGTTGACGCCTTCAAGGCTGAGGTCGGCGGATGGGAGGAGGAAGTCCTCGCCAAGAGGGTGTTTTCGTTGGTCGTCGGGGAGCAGCTCCGTAAGGAGGGCAAGGCCCCCAAGGCGCCCTCTGTCAAGTTTGCATAGTAATGCGTGATCGTGGATGATGTGCGCGCACGACAGCGTTTTTGTTTGGGTTTTGTCTTACAGTACAGTGACCACAAGAATGGTCTTTACGAAAGTCTCATGTCCAATGAGTGTACAGGATCACGTACATATGGCGGGTTGGGTTGGGCGTTGGAGGCTTTTTTGATCATTACGGTTTTTTGTTATTTTCAAGTTGGTCACTCGGGAGCTTACGAGCTTAACCCCGCTGCAATTGTTTGTTAGGATACCACTTCATCAGAATGAATTCTGTCCCATGCACCGCCGGCATTTGTCTATGGTAATAGTACAATTCCCAATCCCATTCGCTGTCGTCCAACTACCAACCCTTGACGCCTGCTTTTGCCTCTTACTCAAGCATCGAGGCCTGGTTGGTGTAGAGGACGTCCACCACGCTACTCAGCTTCTCAATCGTGGCCAGAGCGTGGTCATATGCGCTGTCGCGCTCCGTCTCGTCGTAAATGATGAGGCATCCCGCACCCTGGTCCAGCACGCCGATGATGACCTTGTCCAGGATCATCTGAGAGAGCTTGCGCTCCACCTGTTGCGTGTCGAGGCCGACCATCTTGGCGATGTGGTTGATCTCAACGCGGGAGAAGGGCTCGATGACCTTGATGAGGTTCTGCTCCAACATGGCGTCGTACAAACGCCGCAGATGGTTGCGGATGAAGGCGTCACTGCCAAGCTGCTCGCGGTAGGACTGAAGAGCCTGCTCGTACTCCTCCAGAGAACGGTTGGAGTGCGCACGAGCGATGGCCTTCATGGCCTCGAGGTTCTTGCTGGCATACTTCTGAGCTTGCTTCGACGTCATCAGGTTGTTGACATCGTCGGCCAGGTTAAGCATAATCTTGCACAGCAGCATGTACTGCAGGGCGGCGGTAGCCTTGACGGACTCGTCTTGGGTGTGGTAGCCATCGAGGGCCTCGATGAAGTAGGAGAAGGCTGTGTTGAAGTCCTTGTCTTCGGCGTGTAGCATGCCGCTCTGCATGTCGAGGTGGGCTTGCAGGAGAGGCGGGGTGTAAACAGAAGCAGCGCTCGTACGGGCGCTAGTAAGAGCAGCGCGGGCTTTGGGAATGTTTCCAAGAGCGTGGTAAACGCGCGACTCGAGAAGCTGGACTTCGACAAGGACGAGCTTGTCGTCCAGACGCTTGAGCTCGCGGAGGAGGCCGTTGATGAGAGTGAGGGCATCGTAGTAGGATTGCTTCGCCATGAGGAGGGTGACCAGGCGGGTCTCGAGGTTCTGACGCAGGAAACTGCGGCGCTCCGAGGTTGCCCATTCTATACATGACTTCGTAACGGCGATTTGGATATCGGTGCTGCCCTCAATGTTCTCGAAGAGGTCGAGCAGAGAGCGGACTGCAGAGGGGTCGGGTTAGTCTTGACTTTGTCACAAACTGAGAAGCGAATTGAATCCAAGCCTACCCAGCTTTGCTGTCTTTGCCTTGGCGAATGACGAAAGGACCGTCCGGCTTTTTGTGATCAGGTCGACAAGCTCCTGCGTCTTCCTGAGCGGGTTATTAGCAAACATGGGTCCCCCACACAATGTCATCACTGGACGGAGGAGGGGCTCACTTCTCATCCCGGTACAGCTCTCCTAAACCGATCAGCGCCGTCTCGTACTCCTTCACAGCGGCATCGGAAGTCGCGGAGGAAGGGGGCTGAGAGATGATTTCCTTGAAGAGCTGCTCTGCCTTTCGGGGATCTGACTTGGCCGCCTTCTGGGCCTCTTGTACCCTAGCCGATTCGCCCTGAGCCATCCTGACTGATAATTCGGTTGCCGTGGCAAGAATTCGGTTGCTTCGTTGTCGGAGTCGTTCGATTTCGCGAGGTTGTCGTCGGTGGTGGGGGAAGGAGTGGTGTCGTCGCCGGATTCGGGATGTAGCTTGGTGCAGTGTCGGGAGCTCCAGCCGCCTTCAGAAGGCAGGTTGCCATGACCTACGCAAGCCCATAGAGCAGCAGTGGAGGGTTGGGGACGTGTCGGGCCATGGTTGATCCGGGCACTCTTTTCTCATTGGAGATAATTCTCCGAGAGCCCCATCCCCACTAAAACTTTTGGTAGAGTTCGCAGGCATTGACATTTCTCTGGCCAAGCAAGAGACTGACTGCATCACGCCCGCCAAAATGAAGATCAAAGCCCTTTCTCGGAGCGTCGAGGAGTACCAGCCTCCTGGCTCAAATGCTAAGAAGCTGCCTCGGTATTTAAAACTCGTCCAGCAAACTGTAAAGCCCAGCTAACCATTTCGAAGGAACCTCGATCCTGCTCAGCATCCTATGGAGCGCGCTCGAGAGTAAGTCGACCTTGCCACACCTGGAGGCGCCAACTTACCAGAAACTCAGGTATACGAAAGCTCTCAATGCCGTTAAGTTGGAACGCATGCATGCCGCGCCCTTTGTTGGGCAGATGGGCAGTGGTCATATCGATGGTGTATGCCTGATCCGAATCCTCGAAGACTCTCCTGGTTGCTAATAGATACTACAGGTTTATTCGATGGCCAAGGATCCGAACTCCCTGAAGCATATGGCATCTGGTAGTGGTGACGGAGCGATCAAAGCATTCGACCTCACGAGCCGAGACGAGATCTGGCACACTAAGAGTGCCCACACCAACATCGTGCGAAGCCTATGCTGGACGAGGGACGGAAAGCTTCTTAGTGCTGCATCAGACAAGACGATAAAGCTTTGGGACCCATACAACACCCCTAGCGACTCCGCGCCGATCTCTTCGTGGCTGGGCAATAGCGGTTTCCAGAGCATATCGCACCACCGATCGCGAAACGCCTTTGCTGCCTCTTCCTCCTCTAGCGAGATCGCCATCTACGATTTGGAGCGGCACAGCGCGGCCCCCGAAGTTCTTCGATGGCCGAACGCAACCGATACCATCAACACTGTTTCCTTCAATCAGGTTGAGCAATCCATTCTCGGTAGCACAGGCGCCGACAGGAGCATCATTCTTTGGGACGTCCGCACTGCGATGCCCCTGACCAAGACGACAATGACATTCACCTGCAACTCTCTATCCTGGAACCCCATGGAAGCTTTCAACTTTGTCGTTGGAAGTGAAGACCACAATTGCTATGTAAGTCATAAGCAAACAATCGCACCTCGGAACTGGTATCTAATTCAGAAGCAGATGTTCGACATGCGCAAGTTCGACAGGGCACTGAACGTTTACAAGGGGCATGTCGCCGCCGTCATGAGTGTTGAGTTCAGCCCGACAGGTGAGGAGCTGGTTTCCGGGTCTTACGACAGGACGGTTCGCATCTGGAACCGTGACCAAGGACACTCCCGCGACATGTACCACACCAAGCGCATGCAGAGGGTGTTCACCACCATGTTTACTCCTGACTCGAAGTATATTCTTACTGGTTCCGACGACGGAAATGTGCGCGTCTGGCGATCGAACGCCACGGACCGATCCGGCATTAGATCCGCTAAGCAGAGACAGGCCCTCGAGTACAACGAGGCCTTGGTCTCTCGATACAGCCATATGCCAGAGATCAGACGCATTAAGAGACACCGTCACCTGCCCAAGGTGATCAAGAAGGCGGGCGAGATCAAGAATGTGGAGCTCCAGTCGATCAAGAGACGCGAGGAGAACGAGCGGAGGCACACTAAGAAGCAGTTCGAGAGGCGCAAAGGCGAGAGAGAAAAGCCCATCCTGGCGAGGGAGAAGTAGAGATGGTTTTCTACGGATGCATGTCTTTGCTGGTGTTGCTTTGCATTGTTCGGCGTTGGGGGCGGCATGCCATGTCTATGTCAAAAGGAAAAGGGTGGATAATCGTGAAAAGTGCAACTTAGATAAGGGACCAGAATACCACGGATCAAATCGTTTTTGACCAATAGAATCCAGCGAGAGCTACGTGCTAAGAAACAATGCCGTCTCTCATCTTAGTATCTTCAAGGTGCCGCTTCCGCTCGGCGGCCGACATGTCCGCCGGCTCCGATAAACTCGATTCGGCGACGGCTTGAAGTGGAGTACCTATCAGTTAGCCGTCCACGGAAAGACAGCTGTAAGGGGTCTACGGGGCGTTTTAGCGGCCGTTCCAGGGTTGTGAAGGGGGTTCCAGGGCCACAGATAGGAGCTGGCCTGTCAGGGGAGCAACCCCTAGCCGCTTGGCCGCCGTTTCAACGCCCCAGGTCCATCCACATGTGACGAAGAATGTCAAGCTTCCCCGTGGCCCGATTGAGGTTGTGGGCTGTGCGTTCTTCCGTCTCTTGAATGAGACTTTTTTTTTGCGGTTTCCCTTTCCTCTTCCCGCACGCTGGACGACACCTACACCATTGTTTTCCGAAGACGCTTCAACTCTTCACCCCAATCTCGTTCTCCGAATCTATGCAGGACGTGACACAAGATCTATTCTAATCTCGCTCGAGGCTTGTCGCGATACAAGCTTGGCCACGGCCTCAACTCTTTCATACCACCACGACCCTATCACCGCACACCCGCCCGCCCGCCATGGACTACCCACGCCCGCCCCAGGAGGGTTCTTGGTTCGCGCCGCTGTCCATCGACCTGTTCGTCAAGGTCTTCAAGGTCACTTTCTTCCACCCCTTCGTCTCCTGGATCATCCCCCTGTGCTTCCGCGCCCAGGCCCAGCCCTGGGATGCCCCGCCCATGATCGGCTCTATCGTGTGGGCGACCTTCATCACGCTGTGCTGGATGGCCAATGTGATCGACCAGCGCATTGCATACGGCTTGCCGCGCGAGGTCGACCTTAGTGAGGAGGTCATCGTCATCACTGGCGGCGCCAGCGGCGTGGGTCTCCTCATCGCCGAGGTCTACGGCATGCGCGGTGCCACCGTTGCCGTCCTGGATGTCAACGAGATGGAGAACGGCGAGGCGAGGGGCGTCACGTTCTACAAGTGCGACGTCACGGACAAGGCGCAGGTCGCGAGGGTCGCGGCCGAGATTGAAAAAGACGTAAGTTCAGCCCCTGGCGTCGGATGCGAGTCGGGCGTGAAGAGTCGCTAACACAATTCGCTCCCAACAGCTCGGTGCCCCCACTGTCCTGATCAACAACGCTGCTATTGTCAAGGGCAAGTCCCTCCTGGACCTCGAGTTCGAGGACATTGACAAATCCATCACCACGAACCTCACGGCGCACTTCTACACCCTCAAGACCTTCCTCCCGCCCATGATCCGCGCCGGCAACGGCGGTACCATCGTAACCATGTCCTCAGTCCTCGGTCACCTCGGCGCCGCTTCTCTTACGGACTACACAGCCGCCAAAGCCGGCGTTACCGCCCTGCACAAGTCCCTGACCGCCGAGCTCGCCACTTCTCACCCGGATATCCGCACCATCCTCGTCGAGCCGGGCCAGCTGTCGACGCCGCTCTTCTACGGCGTGCAGACCCCCCACGCCTTCATCGCCCCCGTCGTCGAGCCTGTGGACGTGTGCAAGGAGATCATCGCCGCCATCGACGCGGGGCGGAGCGCGCACGTCGCTATGCCTCTATACGCGCGGTGGATTCACTGGTACAACGTGCTCCCCGCCTCGGTGCAGCAGCTCGCGAGACAGTTGGCTCGCGTGGACACGTCAATGCAAACGTTCATCGGAAGGCAGGAGCGCGGGATGAGCGAGAAGAACGGGAGACTGATTTGAAAGGGCGGGTGGTGTCTGGTTGCTAACGTCTCCTGGGAAGCCTACGGTGCCGGCGCCGGGGGTGGCTCTCTGTAATACCAAAATCCGGCCATATACATGTCAAAAATGTCTAGAGACATATCTGAATGAATATACATTTTAATTTCCAAGAATTGAATCCCAAACCCACCTCAAGTGCGAACCTCCTTGCTTTCGGTCCCGGACAGGTCCTCGGCCGGCGACACCTTGTTGACGCCGTCAAACTTCTTGTAAGTCAGCGTGTCGAGGTCGATGCCGTCAAGGGCTCGCGCCTGTGTCATTTTGTCAGCATGCCGTCGTGCCGGGTCAACGGGAAGACGGGGGGGTTGGGGAACGCACGCTGATGCCGTAGTAGGTCTCGTTCAAGAAGCCGATGCCCAGGCTCGACCCGCAGCCGCCGCAGAACATCTGGTCCTTGGTCTTGGTGTTGAAACGGTAGTTGGTGCACCGCTCACGGGACCCGTCGTGCCAGGTGACGTCCGTCTTCTCGGGGTCTCAACGCCGAAGGGTATTAGTGACTTGATGCCCGGCGAAGACGCCCTCGTCCTTGATCTTTGCATGACTCGAGAGCCGTGCAGCAGCTGGGGAGGAGGAGGTTTGAGGGGCAATAAGGATATACGTACAAACGAGGAGATAGCCGCTGCGTCGGCAGATGGAGCAATTGCAGTTGAGGACTTTGTACCCGTCCTCCAGCGGTGGCGAGAGCGTCAATGAGAACTTGATGTTGCCGCAGTGGCAGCTCGCGTCGTACGTCTTTGATCTCTTCGGGACCTCTTCTGTCGACATGATGTAGTCACGGTTGGGAGGCAGCTTGTTTCGAGTAGACGCTGTCTGAATGTATGTATATGGCGTGTGAATGGAGGGTGTAGTGATGTGGGGTTTGTTGAGTCCAAGAGAAGACCGTCGTCGAGATCGAAGCCTTATAAACCGATGTGCACCGGGAAAGGGAAGGGTTAATGAAGATTTCAGCCAACCTGAGTCTTTTTGGCACGCATTCTTTACCCCTGTTGTGTTATGCCATCCTTTTATCCCCGATCCAAAGATGGGAATTCTGGAGTGGGCAACTAGCTGCCCCTAGCTCATGTTCTGGCCAATACCGACCGGTCGTCCACCGTTCGTGACATCTAGTCTCTCCGAAGGCGCACGGAGATAGATCATGTAAACCATGTATTAGTCGTGATGTACCGCCATGCGCCGAGGCGCCATGCCACGGAGACGCAGAGTGGGTACGATGCGGCGACCTGCCGCATTGGGATATGGTGCCGCACCGTGCGAATGGGGGCCATACTGCAGATTGATCCTAAAGCAAGGGCCGGAGGAGCTAGTAACAGGATCCCTTAAGAAGGGCAGAACGGGTGGGCAGTTGGTTATATTTAGTTATTGGCTGCTGGTTGCATAGGTCAAGCACTTGATACGGTAACGCTAATGACGGAGATGCTAGTACTCTATTTTCTCAACTTTCCTCCCCTCCGATTCTTCTACTATTAGATGCTATGAATTAACCGTAAGCTATGTATATATGCGGTAGGTTTGGTTAGGCAAGTTGGTATCAGATGAACGATGCTTGTAACCGTCCCTAATAAGATGCAACGCCCAAGAAACAAAAGCCGCTACAACTTTTTATTTTCTCCAAAACCCTGATCCTCATGGTATCATCAAACGCCAGAAATCGCATAAATCCAGAAATGTGTATACGTGAGTGTATGTATGTACCGAGACGTTACGGGAAAGAACGACCACGCCTCAATGGAGCGTTTTCTAGACGGCGTTCATGGCCTTGTCGCCGCTGGTCCTTGGCCTGCTCGCATCCAGCGCGGCGTCGGACGGCGGCTTCTCGGTCTCGCGACTCGCGTGACCGTTAGCAAGGGCCTCCAGCTCGTCATTCTCGGGCTCGTCGGCCGGGGCGGCGAAAGTTGGGGCGTAGGCGCTCTTGGAGCGGATCTTGGCGCCCCAGATGTAGAACACAACGGGGATGGGGATGAGAAGGGTGGCGACGGCGCCAAGCAGCGTCGAGGCCCACTGGATGCCCATGCCGTTGAACATGTAGCTCGCGAACAGGGGGAAGCCGGCGCCGCAGAGGGAGCGGAGGAAGGTGTTTCCGGCGATGGCAGAGGCGGCGCTGTCAGGCCCGTTAGTTTATGGCGTCGAAGTGCGTTTGATGGGGCAATACGTACAACATGAGGTAGGCGTCGACAAGGTAGTTGAGCGCCTGGAGGAAGATAGACATGAGTCCAAACCCAGTGAACAGACCACTGAGTGTAGGGACGATCCAATGGATGTCCTGGCGGTATCCGGACCTGTTGGTTTTGTTAGCGTAAGTGTCGTTTTTCTCTGCGAGAAATGAGAGAAGGCTTACCATCCGAACCAAAAGATACCGGCCGCGAAGAAGACCCCGCCGGCAATGACACTCGGAAGACGCCACTCAGGAATTGGCACGCCGTTGTTGGCCTTGAGCTTGCGCAGGTACCACGGCTGCTGAAGCAAGACGGTGATACCAGAAATGAGCTGGCCAGTGATCATACCGAAGAAGGTGAGTCCCGACTGGCCAGCGCCGAAACCGTGAACGCCACGGAAGACAAAGGGGTATGCCGTCAGGAACAGGTACAACAATCCGTAGATGAAGGCCATGTAGACGGACAGCGCGGTGACGATGGGCTCGCCAAAAAGCAGGCGCATGGGACGAGAAAAGTTCTTGTTGACGAGTTCCTTCAGGTCAATCTCAATTTCCTCCTGTTTAGCGTGGATGCCCCAGTTCCTCGTCCTGCGGCGCAGCTCGGCGGCCTTGCTAACTAGGATGACGGGCGGGTAGGTCTCCTCGAGGAAGAACAGGTCGAGAAAGAAGGCAGCGAAACCCATGAACGAGGGGATGTACTCGGTCCAGCGCCAGCCGAGGTGCGACTCGACGATGAAGCCGCCAATGAAGGGGGCCAGGAGCGGGCCGGTGAAGACCGCCATGGAGAAGACGGTGATGGCGCTGCCACGGGTGCGGTTGTCAAACATGTCGGAGAAGACGGCGGCTACGACAGCCAATGGACACGCGCCAAAGAAGCCGGCAAAGAAGCGGCAGATCAGGATCGTCTGCAGGTCCTTGGCGACGGCGGTGCTTATCGAAAAGATTGAAAAACCGCCCATGGAAAGGACGAGGGGCAGCCTACGGCCACGAAGCTCGGAGAGGGGCGCCCACAACGTAGGTCCGAATGCGAAACCCAGGACATATAAGGACACGCCCAACGTGCCCACGGTGGCTGAGACGTTGTACTCTGTCGCAATGGCCTGCGTGGCCGCAGAAAAGATGCTAGAGGTGAAGGCGGCGGTCATGGTGGTGTAGCCAAGCATTGCGGCTGTGAGCAACCTGCGAGCCAAGACCTGTCAGCGAACGACGTCTCGAAAGAAAAATGAGCTGCACGTTCCATGCGAGACATGAGCTTACTTTTTCTTCATCGGCCAGTTCTGCGCGTGCAGGGGGTCGTTGGGCCCGTCAAACTCGACGACGTAGTCCTCCTGCTCGGGCAGCAGCGGCGGATAGGGCTTGCCGGCGCCCATGGCGGGCAGGGCCTTCTTCGACTCCCTGCTCTTGATGCTGCGGCCGACGGTGTTGGAGTGCTGGCTGCGGGCGGTGGCGATGCGGCTCAGGGCCGTCGGGTGCCGTTCGAGGTCATTCTGGGTCGAGACGCGGCTGATGCCGGTGCCGGTGCGGTAGGCGGGGCGGGCGCCGATCTGGGATGCCGTGGACGAGGAGGTCGAGGTAGAGGAATTGGAGAGAACCCGTTCGATCTCGTGGCTTTCGCGGCCTTGGTAGAGGTTTGGGGAAGCGTCGCGCTCGGCGGCCGCGATCTCGCGGTCTACTTCGTCTATCCCCATTGTTGAATAATGCTGATGGGTTGTTTGTGATGTAGTGCTGCGGATTGCTCCAGAGGAAGGGGCAGTTGGTCCGAAGAGTTACGCCGAGATCAGTCAAGTATTTGTGATATCAATTGACGTGATCATGCAGGTCAAAGTGTGTTGTAACAGCAGGTTCCTGCACTGCTGAGTTATGTGATGTAGTAGCTCGGGGCTATCGAGAAGGTGGGTGTGTCACGAGTTACGTCGATGTATCGTAATGCCAGAGACCGGCCGGTACTATGCCAGTAAGATTTTAGGCGTCTAGATCAGGTGGCAATGAATGGGAGGAGAGCGTCTGGGCGGAGGTTGGAGGGGTATAAACTGGAGATGGTGAGTACGAGATCTGCCGCAGGTGGGCAGCTTTCCGTCTTATATGACGAATGTTTGTCTAATATGGGTATATAAAAGAGGGAGATACAAAAGAGGGAGAGCAGTAGTCTAGAAAATGACAACTAGCGAGAATATGGATTAGGAAGAGTTGATATGTAAGCAAGACGGCGTGAAGCGCCAAAGGCCGAGGGAGTGTATGGGGATTAACCAAAACTTGCTGCGAATGACTGTTGTGCTCTTGATGGGGACCAGCCGGGACATCGCCCGGGTTACCAAGCAAAAGGGGATGGAATGTGACAGAGACGATGGTGTTGTGGACCGGCCGAGTCCCACTTGGGAGGCCAATATCATCCCAAGAATTCTTGTTCCTGGGAAATTTTTTCTTTCCCACCCTTCCCATTTGTAAAAACCCGGCAGCAGATTCGGCATCACCACGACGAAAAATCACATAAAAGCAAAGGGCGACGCGAGCCGACGGCGTGCCTGGCTGGCCGCTGGAGAATAAAAAAAATAAAGTGGACCCGGTGGCCGGCAACGTTGGACCTGGATCTATCATGAAGACTAGCCGAGGTGTGACCCTCGGCATCGGATGCAGGGTGCTGAGTGTGTCACCTTTTTTCATTATTTTTTCGCCTCCCGCTCTTGATCCATTGACCCAATGGCACGGGACCACCTTTCAGTCATAGTGCGTACCGGTAGATCAATTCGGCCATTGAGGCGGTGTCGTTAAAAATTGGAGTTTGGTACGGATACGCCATTGTTTCCAATACGTAGCTGCCTCGGTTGATTACTACCTACCTAATCACCTACCTAAGCTTTCCTGATCGCGTGGGCGGTTTTAGCCTTCCATCATCCCATCCCGGAAGGAACACTCAATCGAACTCCTCTTAGAGTTCCTGCAACGGTGGCTCACAGCTCTCCAAGCGGCTTGAGCGACAAGTACTACCGTATCCTCTCAGCAAATGTGAAATCTGCATGGGCCATGGGCTGCTGGAAAGGGGTAAGCGGGCTGGCAGAAACAGGGATCTAGATGTGGCAAAAGCAGGGGTTAGTCATGTAT